GTACACGTAAATCTATTCATTCAAAATTTGTAGTAAATCCCAAGGCTCATACAACAGACATAACAAAACACAAAACTTGACAACATGCTACAATATTGCTTCCAATAGTTCTTTACATTTTAAGTCGATCTAAAATTATCAATGACGTAGATATGGACACCAGCACTCCAAAGAGAGCAACTCTAATGCACAAACAAATCGCAAAGCTAATCTTAACCAGGCTTGATTGGCACTTTCATCATCCACACGAGTATAACGGATAATCACACACTGAAACCAACAGCGCAAGACTGCATTTAGACCACAAACTAGAGGAACTACACCAAAATACACAAAGAACATGAGACGCGACGGATTCCACAGTTTCATTTTTAAAAAAACGAAGGAAAAATGCAGAAATGATCTTCGATAGTTCTCAGAGAGAGGAGAGAGAACACAGAGCTCAAACGACACTGACGTCATCGTTTGAGTTTGAGGTGGCTTTCACATCCATCTCCCATAGGTTATTGTTTTTTGTACCCAGAGTTCTTTGCTCTGGGTTTACAAACCTCTACATTCTCTCAGAGCACAGATTCCCTGTTCTAGCTAGTTTAAGGTAGAATACTGAATCAATCAGGCAGAGAGCACGAGAATCTGATCACGTGTATTAATGTTAGACTATGTGGCGTATTAATCCAGAGGTACGGTGTTCACGACAGGGCAGAATACCCATTGGCCCCTGTGGAGACACACACCCTCTGCAATAAACACACACACAACACATCCGTGGCGACCGGCAGCCTGGAGGGGAAGAAAGCGAAAGTGGAAAGGAGAGACAACAGAAAGCTAAAAAAGTGATGAGAGAGCAAGACATGAGGGAAGAAAAAGAGGCAGTGCAAAGACAGAGGAAGGACACAGAGAGAGTGAAAGACAGAATTAACCTTAATGTCAAGAGTGTCCACAAATATAACTGTTTTTCTCCAAATATAAATGACCCTTTCTGTAATCATATTACCCTCATATTGCTGCACCAAGTGCTTGTGCTTCTGAAATCAGGTACACAGTTTGATCTCCAAACAGTATTGAACAATAATTTATATTTGGAGAACCTGATATCTCACGGCTGGTACTGAAACATAGTAAATAGTTTGGGAGTACTAGTTTGGGAGTACAAGCGTATGGCATGTTAAATGGTATGTTGAACTGTATTTAAACAGCAATAATGAGAGATGTGGAAATGTTAATATTCCTCACAATTATGTAATGGATATAAATAGGTCACTCTCTCGCCCTCTCTCTCTCTTCCCTCCTTTTTCTACGTTTCCGCTTCCCCTCTAGCGAGTAGATTAGAGGGCTGGTAGTTGGAGGGAGATGATGAATGTCTTTTAGAGTGTGTATGTAGGTCAGCAGTAGACTGGGCTGTGCAGTGTTGTTATAAATAGAAGTCCAGGGTTCAAATGGAGATCTGCTAATTAATGACAGGCCTGGGTGCCGGGGTGGGGTGGGGGGGGGAATCAGACCCTCGGCGGCCTCTGGTTTTGCAAAAGAGCAAGGTAAACTACAGGTAGACGCTCCTACAGCGGAGCCTCGTGGCCCGTGTTCTTGTGCTCGCTCGGTTTCATTGCTTTATTCCGTCACGCCGTGTCTCAGTGGACGCATTCTCGATGGTGTGAAATATGTACAGTACATTCCATAGTTGCGATAGCGTCAGGCCGCTGGATTCACAGTGTGGTTCAGAGACGATCACTCGCCCTGTACGGTAGCTCCTGCTTACTCTCCATGCAAGAGCCAATTGCTGGCAAGACCGAAAATGCTGTTAGCAGCAAATATTTTGATGCAGTGTACAACTGTGGAATTAACTAATGAGTAACTATCACCACCAGTCTGTGAAACTGATGACCTGTTGATCAGTGGAAAAGGTGGAGGGCTCGTGAAACTCTCCGCCAATACTTTAGAACGTTGGGCAAACGGAGCTGTGCGTCTGACACTACGGCCTGCAGTTTGGTTTCTCAGAGGAAGCAGAATTATAATCAGTTAGCCTGCCAGAGTTCGCCTCGCAGCGACGCCGCTTTACTGAAGAAGGCTGAAGGTCGACAGTCGTTACAGTAGCATCCTCCGGCCTTCGAATGAGTTCACACAGGTTACAAAAGCTGTGTCGTTTTAGTCTCTCGTTCACTACCTCAACCGCACCTCTGCTGCCAGTCTGACGCAAACAGGGATTAAGTGCGATGTGAACGAGGTGGTATCTGTAATGCACCCAAGACTTTGCTGCACTGCATACAAACTGGAAATCTTTCTCCTTCTTCACAAACATGAGGTATGACAACCTGAGCTCCTTTCAAACGAAACAGGCACAGACATTGCCTGGCTCCTCCAATCAGAGGAAGAGGAGTTGAGAGGTACATCTGTCTAAACGGGTCCAATTATTTTTCAAGTTCAGGATTCTAAGGACTTCAATTCCTTGGTAGTGTTTCCAAAGGTTTTCTGTAGTAGTAAGAGTTAAAAGTCAATGAGACAAAACAGACTTTTAAGATCCTACAGTTGTGTCTCTGCTCTGGCAGGATCTTTTGAATATCCACTCACTCTCAGTCTTGTGAGTAAATCGCAAAATGCCCCCAATAATGGGCTCAGACAAACTCTCCCATAAATACTAAAATCAGTAGATATGACAACAAAATCTCTTCAAATGTGTTTTCTTAAAGCACCAAAGTGGGATCCTGTGACTAAACTGCACTTGCATGTATGTGTATTACATTCCAGTTCTCTAATGCTGAGTATCTGAACTTTGATGTATGATGTCCGTCTCTGTCTGTCTGTGGCTGAAGGTTAGTTATCTACTCTTGAAAGCATCTCAATTTTATACTCTATTTACATATTAAAAAACAACAACAATGTCAGGAAGTCTTTATACATTCAGGTCAACCTGGAATCACAGGTTTGAAAAAATCTAAAAGAGACTGAGTGTGAACTGACCATAATGGAGAATCACAGAGATTTAATGCTTTCAGCAGGTGTTTGAGATTAAGTCTCAGTTGAAAACAATAAGGGGGGAAACCAAGATTACCTATGGAAATATTTTATAGGTATCTTCCTTTTTATTTCAGGCCTACACAACAGTTTCAGAGACTCAATTTACTGATATCAAAAGGGGGACTGCTTCAAACTCCAATCTCCTTGCTCAGGGTGTGGATTAGATATGAACTAAACTGTGAGGGTTCTGCAATGGAAGCCAAAAATTGAACATAGAATTAAAAAGACTCTGGCTATGAGAGAGGAAGTGAGGTTTGATCTCCTCCTCCTCTGAGTGCCCCAGGGCACGATACTCGGACCTACACAACGTAACACAACTTTAAAAATACAGCAAAATTTCAGTCACAAAATATCACATTTCTCCCCAATCAGATTATTATCCACAGATTATCAGATTATCTATCCACAGTTCCATCAGATCGTTTTTCATTTGTTTTGTAATCGTCCTTATTTTGTGTTTAAGTATTTGGAAATGTTTCTCACTCCAACCCATCCCGTTCTCTCTCAAATTCATTCATTCAGTCATCTATTCATTCTCTCTGGTTTCCTTCTCTTTCGTCATTCCCCTCCCCACTCCTGTCCATCCCTAGCCCACCTTCTGAGGGTTGGTGGCACGGACGCCTTGCTCGTATGTGATTCGCTGGCTGATGAGATACTGGGCGGCCTGCGTTGCTGCCGGCGACCCTGTAATGGTCACCTTGCGATTGCGTGTGCCTGGAATGAACTCTCCCTTTTTGGAGATCTGAATTCGTGCCCCTGTCAGCTCCTGATACTCCACGAGAGTCTTGCCGCCTTTTCCCAAGATAGCACCGACCAAGTTCTCTGGTACAGCGATCTCCACTACTTCCTTTCCACCTTCTGCCAGCTTCTCTGTGCCCAGCAGAGATGATGCCACCAGCGGGGATGAGGGATTCAGGTAACCATTAGACACCCCTGTAGCGGCCGCTAGGGAGCCCAGTGAGAAGCCCCCTAAGCTAGGTGCGCCAGGGTGGCTGCCCCCTCCAGTAGCCTCGCTGGCATATGTAGCAAGCAGATTGGCAGCAGCTGCAGCCGCTGGATTGGCGCTAGCTGCAACGGCAGCGAGCACCCCAGACGCAGCGGCCGGATTGAGGCCAAGCCCCAGTGTATTGGTATTGTAGCCATAACTGGCCAGAGTGTTCAGAGCAGATGTAATGGCAAGCAGATCATTACCGGAAAAACTTGTCATGGCCGCAGGGAACCCACCCATGCCTGCGAGACCCACCTGGCCAAGGAGCGTGGAGGCTGTAGCTGCTGCTGCGGCATTGGGTAACACCTCTGTAGAGTTAGCGAATGGGGAACCGGTTGGGTTGGAGTTGGCCACAGGGCCAGTGATGTTGGAGTAACTGATATTGAGACAGCTGCTGCTCTGTGGGTCCTCCTGGATCTTCTGAACAATGATCTCCACGGCCTTGCGGTTTTGCTCCGGCTCCCCGCTCACTGTCACGACACGCTCCTGCAGATTGATGCCCTCAGGCTTCTGAGAAAGCTGTACCCAGGCTCCCGACTGCTCCATCACAGCCTTAACTGTTGCCCCACCCTTACCGATGATGAGTCCTGCTGTACTGTTGGGCACGATCAGTTTAGCCTGTGGAAGAGGGGGAGTGTCACTTTGATTGAGGAACAGAATTACATGCATGAGACTGCACACAGCCCCAAAAGTAGATGCTGCAATAAGCTCAAGTGCATCTGTGCTGATTATGTAGATGTTTGTTTTTGGTCCACACTTATACATGGTAAAATCCAATAGTTTACCTTACTTAGATTTAATTAGTTATCTTTACTTAGCTGTTATACTTACTAGGTTTTATTAAGTTACAGCTACTTTCAAGGCAAATAAAACAATTTACTTACTGTTTTGAGTGACACTTACTTAAAATATTCAAGTAGCCACAAAGGAACCAATGACATTAATAAACCAGTGAGAGGCAGCAGTGCACTAATATGTTGCTAATGTATGGCATTTTTTTAATGACAAATGTCGAGAGCGCATTATTGTAGCGCGAAAGCACATTAATATAATGCGCGAGCACGAATCTCTCCGCTCGCACGTGGATTTAATTTGCTCTCGCACAAAACCTGACGTGCACGCTCAGATACACGCTGCTCTCGCCCTGAGAGTGTGCGCCCACTTAAAATGTGTGTCTACTCTCTCAAACCGTCCTGTGCACTCACAAATCTCTCTGTGCTCATGCGCTAGATAATAATTATTTTCGCACCTGAATTAAACATGTCAAATGTTATCCACCTATCAGATTTCAAAGATGGATCTGTAATTTCTTTATAATTTAATACTACTAAGTCATAATAATCAAATATTAGAAATGAATCGGGTGCTTGGATTATTTGTAAATAGGCCTAACCTAGTTTAACAGTTTGGCCAAACCCCTGTGAGCGATTTATCTAAACACAAACAAAAAAGTAGGCCTATATGATTCTTAAAGTTCATGTGGTCATATAGCCTATTGTGCACTTGGATTGAAATAAATAAATAAATATATCTTCTGATAAATCTAACTAAAATCAGAACTGAAAACAAACACTGGATTTATAAAAATAAAAACTCCCAATAAATGTCCAAACAGTGATTATATCAGAACATTTATTGTGTTATATCTTGCATCATTTACGTCTATTTTTGCATTTGATGTTGATTTGATAGGAATTGTTACTATTGCCATCATACCAACTGAGAATTTATTGCAATGATTTTAAAATCAGTTGAGGTACCTGACATATTATGACATAACATTGATCTTTTATTTAAGATGTGGAGACCAAATATAACACTATAATGAATTTCCCATATTTGTCATAACATTACTACATTATATTATATGGGTTTAATGCATTTGCAGACAATGTAATTACATGTAACTGTCATATAACTGTATATTCACGGTTTGAGAGTGCCATTGAATGTGTAGCTATAGGGTTTTCATGAAAAAAAAATCTAACTAAAATCAGAACTGAAAACAAACACTGGATTAAAAAAAAAAAACAACAACTCCCAATAAATTTCCAAACAGATGCACATATCTTGCATCATTTACGTCTATTTTTGCATTTGATGTTGATTTGATAGGAATTGTTACTATTGCCATCATACCAACTGAGAATTTACTGCAATTATTTTAAATTCAGTTGAGGTATCTGACATATTATGACATAACAATGATGTTTTATATGACGTCTTTAGAGCCATAGGCTATAATATGTTGTTTTTAGATAAATTGCTCAGAGACCAACCAGTTGGACAGAGGTTATTTATAGGCTATGTACAAATCATCCAAGCACCCAATTCAGCCATTTCTAATATAGGCCACATTTCATTAACATTGCTAAATATTATTAAACTGGAAATAAATTAAAGATCCATCTTTGATTGTCAAAAGAATTCCAGGTTCAGTTCCCTCTCAGCCAATTAGATTTCACATAGTATTTTCATCGGTCAGTTGTGGAGGTCTGATTGTTTAAAGCTTTATTTACATAGCGCCTTTTAAAACTGTTTACAAAGTATTTTACAGAGAGATGCATATGTGCATTTACAGAAAAGAAAAGACAAATACAAACATAAAAGAGATAAAATAATAAAACAAAGTGCAATAACCAGTTTGTTAAAACACAAATACAACAATAAAAAACAAGGAAAAGCCTTCAGTGAAAAAATCTGTTTTCTTTTGACAACGTTTAATTCAGGTGCGAAAAGAATTAATATCTAGCGCATGAGCACAGAGAGATTTGCGAGTGCACAGAGCAGTTTGAGTGAGAGGAGAGACGCGTTTTAAGTGGGCGCACACTCTGAGGGCGAGAGCAGCGTGTATCTGAGCGTGCACGTCAGGTTTTGTGCGAGAGCAAAGGAAATCCGCATGCGAGCGGAGAGATTCGAAGAAAAGAAATAAACAGGTTGCTTTTAGAAGGTGACCCATCTTCTAATTAAAGCATTAGTGTGTTTTTGTGTGTGTGATTATTAATGAACTTTTTCAAATTTCATTTTTCATAAATATTTCATAAAGATGCTTTTAATTGGGTTTATATAATCCTTAAATAGTGTGGGGTAATATGCTAAAGTCACACACAGATTTAAACATTCAGCACGTGAATCACAACAATGGTAACAATTCAATTTAATTTATT